GCCTAGGCGATTCGAGCGAAGCGGGATCAGGTACCTATCAAAACTAGGTACCTGGCCTTCACTGCCCCCCCCCCAAAAAAAAAAGGTGTCCAAAAGTGGGAGAAGAAAAGGACCCCCTTTTTGGTGACGTTCCACTTTAAATTGGTTTCAAAGTCTCAAGTTTTTTTACTTTCATTTATTCTGTGTGCGACAGCCCCCCCCATACTTTCCTGAGCCCCATCTCAATCCAATGATGTGCACGAGAGTCTTAGCTGTCCCGGGTCTCTCCTTCCTCATTGGTTGAGAGAGCAGTCGAAGCCATTGGCTCCCACTACTTTAAACCATAGCCAGGGAGCCAACAGGGAGAGTGGGGGGGCAGGCCAAGTCACGTCTGTGTGTGTGTGTGTGTGTATGGACCCAGAGAGCAGCAGGCTTGGGAGCAAGCCTGCTTGGATGCCCCTATAGCTAGCTGCTTGCTATTGGGGGCACTTAGCAGGAGGGAGGGGTCAGGAATTCCTCAGGGGAGCTCAGAAGTGGAGGATTGGGGCTGCTCTGTGCAAAACCATTGCACAAAAAAAAAAACATAACATTTGTTTTTTTTTTTTTTAAACCCGAGCTTTTACAGTCACTTTAACCAATTAATTAATTTTATGTGCTCCCTATGGAAGTAGATTACATCATGGAAGTCTCCTAGATGGCTACAGCATGAGCATCTAGCATCAGCATATGATCTTCACCGTATTAGTAATCTCTGGTCAGAGTGAATGCGTGGGAGATCCTGTGAACCAGGTTGAACAGTCTGTATGTCAGAGAGTGTAATAAACCCGAACAAGGCTTTTAAACAGGGATTGTCTTCCATTTCTCTTTTGAGGGTTTTGTGGATGGATTCTATGTAGTTGCCAGCGACTGCCGGAAGCCAGCACTCAGACGATTTGTGATGTGTGCCTGTAGCAGAACCAGGGGCGGACTGACAACTCATGGGGCCCCCAGGCAATAGGGGATCATGGAGCCCCTGTGTCCTTGCCCAAACTCAAAAAAGCCTATGAAAAAGGTACCAGGGGCATCTCATGGGGCCTCCTACTTATCCCGGGCCCTCGGGCAGTGCCCAAGTTTCCAAATGGTCAGTCCGCCCCTGAGCAGAACATTATCTTTTTTAGTACACTATGTAATACATTAATCTACCTAAATTACCCAATTGATTTTGTATCCAGTTAGGAAGGCCATGTCGTTGTAGGAATATTGGCTGATGTGAAGGAGATAGTACAATCAGATTGCAACTGGTGAGCTTTGGAAATGTGAATGTAACAGTTTTTAGACTTCATCAGTTTTTTTTTTACCCCTTGAATCCATGCCACCTTTTTATGCTCACATTGATTTTCCCTCTTCATAATACAACCCTGGTTTATTACATTCACAAGTTAATATAGTAGTCATCTTTCCAGATATTTCCCATGTGTTTTCCTCTGCTCACACCTAGCATCTGCACTACCTTTTCTTCCATTATTGGAACACTTCACTCTGTGAAATTGTTGGATAAGTACCCAAATGTAGTGGGAAATGGAATTGTTACTTGTCACAGCCCATGACAATTTATCCAATGCAGATTATAAAAAAAAATTTTTTTTATTCTAATGTTTTTTTTGAGGAACATCTTTTTTTTTCCTTTTTTTTTTTAATTCTTTTTGAATTGGCTCTGTAATCAAATGAGAGCAGCATTGTTCTGTGTTTATTTAAAAATGCAACTCCTTTATGAACAATTGCAGGTGTTTGTAGGTATATTACTTGCATTTATTTCTTATGACATAGCCGATCTCTTCTAAGAACCCAGCTATTTTTTCCCTGAGGAACCTTCTGTTTTTTTTACTTTCTGTGGTCTGGTAAAGGCTAACACAACGTATCAAACCATGTTTTATATTATATAAATGAGGAAAACATTCTGTAACCCTCAGCTTCAAACTGCATCTCACACCTACATTTACCTGAATCATGGGGTTCTTCTCACTTCTGTAATTTTATTTCCCTTTAAATTCGGTTTGGCTGTGCTTGTACAGCCAAGGCATCCATTCATAGAGATCTGTGAATGTAGACACTACTATATTCCATATGCCACTGTGGCAAAGAGACTGGTAGGAGCTCCGAGAAGCATAAAGTGAGTCCATTGTTTACTTCTTCCAGCCACAAAATGGTAGGGCTTTATCTCAGTACGAACATGGGGCTAGGAGAGGAGTTTGTAGGATCCTGTGTATTGCACATGAGGCTCCAAGGAAAAACATAAATAAATGAACTTTTTTAATTAATGTGTTTTTGTAAAACATGAAATCTGTTTTTAATAAAGCTTAGGCATGTTACAAGAGTATAACCTGTATTCTAAATAGGGGTGGGGAGTGGAAATCAATAAAACTTCAATATACTGCCCACTATGATCTTTACTTTTATTTTTCTCTTGACTAAGGTACATAGATGATGTAGTTGCTTCTTAAACATTTGACCTTTCAGGAAGTCAACTACCAAGGGTAGAGTGTAGTCTTTCTCAACAAGGGGTCTGCGAAACCTCATGGTTCCTACAGAGGTTGCTAGGGGTTCCTTTTAAGAAATGATAACATTCTACTCTAAAATCAGTAACTACCAACACCAATGATCTTCTTAGCCATTTGTAAGGGGGCAACTCTTCTCACTGACCACCAATGTAAGGTGTGGGGTGTGTATTTAGGAGCACCTAGAAAACTTCATACCTCTTTTTGAGACGTTTAGTGCCAGAAGTTCACAGTACTGTTTAGATTTGACAGTCTTTATTAAGCCCTTAGGTGGTTTCATATTGCATCTTAACATGACTCCAATAATATCCACTGCTCAAGCCCTAAAGAAGGGGAAGACTTTTCCCCCTGAAATGCATTGGCTGTATGTGATGCTCTTAGTCAATGAACATTTCATAAAGATCTCTTGAGTGATACGAACTGTTGTACTAGGCGCTCCTCAATACCCAACCCAGAGTTTATTATCTGCTCTTTTTTTTTTGTGATCAGAGACATAGCAATGTAGGCCGAGAGCAAGATCCACTTACATTATACCTTCATTGCGTATCAGCTCCTTTTAAAGGAAGACATAATGCACTGTATATCCATTGGAACCAAGCCTTGCTTTTATTATTGTTATTATTATTATTACTATTATTGTTCTACAGGATTTAAATAGTACCAACAACTTGTGTGATACTTTACAAAATAAATGGAGACAGTATGACTACAATAAGTTTGATACAGAAGGAATAGGAGGGCCATGCTAATGGTGCTATTTGCCCAGTGCAATCACATACATATCCAGACACCAATGTACCCACTGACTACCAAAGTAAGTAGCATTCTTCCCACTGACCCCAAGTGCAAGTTTGGCCTTCTCCCACTGACTACCAGTGCAAGGGTGTCCCTCTCCTAAAGATCACGAATGGTTCCTCTCCCAATGATCACCAATCTATGGAGAACCTTCTCCACTGACTGCAAATCTAAAGGAGCTCTTCTCTACTAATCACCAATGTAAGGGAGCTTTTCAGTGACCACTAGTGTAAGGGGGCACTGTTCCATAGACCTCCAATATAAGGATATACTACAATTTTCATTACAATTATAATGATTTAATTTACCGTATTTTTCGCCCCATAAGATTGACTATAAGACGCACCTAATTTTAGTGTGTTTGTGTGTGGATGCAGACAGTACAGTAGATAAAGCAACTGCTCAGCACAGGGATGACCAAGACTGCGGACAGCACAGGGATGACCAGAGACTGCGGACAGCACAGGGATGACCAGAGATGCGGACAGCACAGGGATGACCAGAGACTGCGGACAGCACAGGGATGTTAGAGACTGCGGACAGCACAGGGATGATTACAGACTGCGGACAGCACAGGGATGACCAGAGAGCTGCGGACAGCACAGGGATGACCAGGGAGACTGCGGACAGTACAGATGACTGCTGACCTTTGGGGAGGTGGAGAGCGGGTACCTGAATTTGAAGGTACCCGCTCTTACTTCCGCAGAGTTTTTGTTTGATCTTACACTGTTCCTCGATCCAGCCGCGCGCTGTCTTCCCGGCTTCTGTAATGGCGCTCGGCATGACAGCCGGGTGCCCAGTGCGCATGAGCGAGAAGCACTTGCGCTTTGTGATTGGTCCGACGGCTTCTGGGATCTGTCATGTGTCCCAGGTACCGCCTTACCATTCACAAAAACACCGCTTCTTGTGCATGCGCACTTGGCACCCGGCTGTCATGCCCAGATGCCCACACTACAGAAGCCGGGAAGAAAGCGCGCCGCTGGATAGAGGAACAGGGGTGGTCAAAGAACAAAGAAGTAAGAGCGGCCCCTGTCAAATTCAGGTACCCGCTCCCCACCTTGCCCAAAGGTCAAAAAGTCATCTCCATAAATGTCCCGCTGCAGAGCTTAGCGGCCGGCCCGGTATACTGACACCCGGCCCGGTGGAAATACCGGACCGGCCGCTCCATTTCGCTCCATAATGACGCACTGACATTTTCCCCCCTTTTTTTGGGGGAAAAGAGTGCGTCTTATGTAGCGAAAAATACGGTATATTATAATTAATGAAAATAATTTGTGTGTGTGTATGAGTATGTACAGTATATAAAGCAACTCTTGGTGGTAAATACTTTAAAGTGGTATTAAAACCAAAAATTGATCTATTGCAGCTTACCAACCATTAGATGTGCTGGCTGCATTCATTTTCATTTTTTAGGCTGTCTTTACCTGGGGATCTGGCAAGTTACACGCCTCCTGTATCAGTGAGACACAGCAGCATTGTCGGTCTGGGGGAAATGGGAGTGTTAAATGTATTAGCAGATTTAAATACACTAATAAACCGAAGCCAAAGCCCAGCTTTGGGATAAAGGTTTTACACAAATATATAAAAGCTGACCAATTAATCACCCCTGCCAGTGTTTAATGAAGTAAACTGACACACTCTGCTGGCAGAGCTTAAACTTCTGAAAAACAGCAGACTTACTGGCTGAATCACCAGATGAAAACAGAAGAAAGAAAGCAGAAAAGGGAACTATACAGCCAGGGGCGGAGTGACAACTCATGGGGCCCCCGGGCAATAGGGGATCATGGGGCCCCTGTGTCCTTGCCCAAATTCAAAAAAGCCTATGAAAAAGGTACCAGGGGCATCTCATGAGGCCCCCTACTGACCCCGGGCCCTTGGGAAGTGCCCAGTTTCCAAATGGTCAATCCGCCCCTATATACAGCCATCACAGCTAAGAATTGGTAAGCTGCAATATAATGTTTGCTTTTAATTCTGCTTTAAGTATGCCACATTTTTTATTCTTTTAATTTTCTTATATCTTTGCTTACTGTTAACAATGTACCCTAAGCTGTAGATACAGGAATTATTATCAGGGATTCCCTAACATTTATTTTCAGTGTTAAAAGGTTGAAAAAAGCTTGGCTAGAGTTACGCAGGAGAGTTATAGCAGCTCAGTTTTGCAACCACAAGCAGTTGCAAACAATCTCTATAAACAGATGGAACAAATGGCTCCCTATGGAGTGAGCTACACAAAGCATCTAAGTATTATTATTATTATCATTATACAGGATTTATATAGCGCCAACAGTTTGCTCAGCGCTTTACAATATAAAGGGGGACAATACAGCAACAATACAGTTCAATACAAGAGGGTTAGGAGGGCCTGATCCTGGGAGCTTACAATCTAAGAGCTTCCTTAATCACATTAATCTTCAGTTATGTGCGGTTGGTGGCTACATGATTCTACTGCTGTTATAGATCTCTCCTTCTCAAAATGCTAGTTTTCTGGGGCTCTCCTCTTCTGCATCTGCCTGAATACAATAGACCACAGGGGAGAGCCTTCTACTCATGATGTTTGGCATACATGGGGAATCAATTATTTTTTTTGGGACTGAATGGGAGAAATCTACATGTGTATGGCTATTCTAAGAGTCAGCAGAAATCACATGAATGTGTTTTTTTTTTTTTTTTGAGCCAGCAGTTTAATGCCAGGAAAGAAGATGCTGTATTTGGATGATGCCTGAACAAAGACGGTGCCTTCATTCCGGAGAGAACATATAAGGTCATAGTGCAGATACAGATGTGTTTCCCTGCTGGATAAACACCAGTTACTGCTAAAGTATATAGAAATAATCATTTTCAATGTGCCCTGTGTCTGTAATGCAGCCAAGAAGGTGTAGTGCAGTGAGCTGTGGTAAATACAGAAAAGCACCACACGTCACCACTCGGCAAACAAAAAGTACTGCGCTGCTGTGCACATCAAAGTTGAAAAAAGGGAAAAAAAAGTAAACGGTGTGATGCACCAAAAAACGCATCACACCACCCTGTCACCAATGCTCACTGTGTCCAAAAACTGACAGCGTGCAGGGTAGTGTGAAGAAAAGAAGCCCTCCCGGAACAACATCCGTACTGTAGCTGTCTTCCAGCTATAGCACGGCAAGAAAGCGGTTAACTTACCTGAATTGCTGCTTCCCCAGCTCTCATATGCTCTGGCCACGAACTGTCTCCTGGCAGTATCAAGTCCAGTGCAGGGCTATGGGCCTCAATGATGGTATGGATGATGTTAGGATTTTAGACGGCTGGAGCGCGGTGGAGAAGACAATGTGCAGACTGGTCTAGCAGCATGGCAGTTTGGATAATTAGATCTTCTTTTCCATGGCCCCTTGATCCAAACAAGCAATTACTCTTGCAGTGCAGGTAGGGCCCCACTGCAAGGGATCATTTTGAAGTTTTCCGGAGTTGGGCTTTAAAGTTAAATCCCAACAAAATGACGTCATTCTAAAAAGGGACTTCATATTCTAATCTCAGTGGAAAGCCTAGAAGCATTAGATGAGGCTGAAACTGCAGCCAGTGTAAAACCCCAAATATTCCATATATCTACAAGGACAGATAAAGTAACCCTGCGCTCTGTCACTGTGTCTGTGGTGTAATGTAGCCTAAACAAAACAGTGAAATGTAATTTTCCTCCCAACGCTAGTGTTTCTCCCTTGGATTTATGTATTGTCTATTTTTACAACATAAGCTCTTTATTTTCGACACAGAATTATGTAATCACTGTAAAATTCTGTCAAGCACAATTTGTGCTTTTATGCCGTTTGGTTGATTACAGCAGAATTCTGACACAATACACTTGTAACTACAGTGAGAACTAAGAGCATTTTACCAATTATAAAAATCTGACATTTTCTGCAGCTGGCTGGATTTGGGAAATGTGAAGTTCCGTGCTGGGAGCTCGTTCACACTGACCTGCGCAGAAAAACACAGGGTTTTATTGTGCACATAGTTACAATGTGTACCTTTTTTTTTTTTTTTTTTTTTTTTTTTTTTTTTTTCTTCTTTCAACTTCATTGATATGTCAGTATTACGTTTGATTCAGTTCTATGCACCACTGCTAAATTGCGGCACATAGAAATGTACAGTACATGGAAGCTTCTGCTGAGCTCTGGCCTGTTGTGAAAAAATGCGTACAGTGCATTCATGAAGTATTCAGACCCTTCACATTTTTCGATTTATGTTTCAGCCTCATAGTATAGTTTTTTTATAATCACTTTTTTTCTCATAACTCTACACTCAGTACCCCATAGTGACAAAGCGAAAACAAAATTTTAGAAATGTTTGCACATTTACAAGAAAGGAAAAACTGAAATATCACATTGGCATAAGTATTCTCAGACCCTTTTATACAAGACTTGAAATTTTACACGAAAGGAAAAACTGAAATATCATATTGGCGTAAGTATTCTCAGACCCTTTGCTGCAAGACTTTAAATTTAGCTTAGGTGCCTCCCTTTTCTCTTGATCGTTCCTGAGATGCCTTCTGCTGAGCTCCGGTCTGTTGTGAAAAAATGCGTACAGTGCATTCATAAAGTATTCAGACCCCCTTCACTTTTTTCAACTGTTATGTTGCAGCCTCATAGTACAGTTTTTTTGTAATCACTTTTTTTTCTCCTAAATCTACACTCAGTACCCCATAATGGCAATGCAAAAACAAAATTTTAGAAATGTTTGCACATTTACAAAAAAGGAAAAACTGAAATATCACATTGTCATAAGTATTCTCAGACCCTTTTCTACAAGACTTGAAATTTTAGCTGAGTGCCTTCCCTTTCTCTTGATCGTTTCTGAGATGTTTTTACGCCTTGATTGGAGTCCACCTGTGATAAATTAAATTGATTGGACATGACTTGGAAAGGCACACGCCTCTCTAGGTCAAGGTCAAAGGAACTGCCTGCAGAGCCTAGAGACAGAATTATTGCAAGGTACAGATCTGGGGAAGGCTACAAAAAATCTCTGCTGTACCAAATGTTCCCAAGAGCACAGTGGCCTCCATAATTCTCAAATGGAAGATGTTTGGCTTAGCCAGGACTCTTCCAAGAGCTGGTCGCCCGGCCAAACTCAGTTACTGTGGGAAAAGGGCCTGAGAAAGAGAGGTGACCAAGAACCCGATGGTCACTCTGAGCGCCTGTGTGGAGATGAGACAAAGTTCCCGAAGGACAACCATCACTGCAGCCCTGCACTGATCTGGGCTTTATGGCAAAGTGGCTAGACAGAAGTCTCTCCTAAGTGCAAAACACATGAAAGCTTGCTTGGAGTTTGCAAAAGCAGTTCTTTTGAAAAGCCTCATTGTTTTTTTTTTTCTGATACAGTATGCATTGTCAGCTGTGAGACCTTTTTATAAAGAGGTGTGTGCCTTTCCAAATCCTACCCAATTAATTTAATTTACCACAGGTGGACTCCAATCAAGGTGTAGAAACATCTCAGCAACGATCAAGAGAAAAGGGAGGCACCTGAGCTAAATTTCACTTGTTGTTGCAAAGGGTCTGAATGCTTCAGTTTTTTCTTTTTCATAAATTTTCAAATGTTTCTAAAATTCTGTTTTCACTTTGTCATTATGGGTGTAGATTAATGAGAAACAAAATTAATTTAAACAACTGTAGCATCAGGCTTCAACATAACAACATTTAAAAAAGTGAAGGGGGTCTGAATAATTTATGGATGCACTGTATGCTACTTGGCACTCAAGAGTCCTGTTCCATTGTGAACAGGGCACATAGAAAACAATTGAACCTGTTTTTGACTAGTTTTGTGCTGTTTTCTATCGCACGTGCGGTGTGCCAGTACAAAGTTACTGTGCATAGGCTGGTAGTTCCAGTTGCCATGCACTGAACAGTGCACAAACATGACATGAAGAGAGTCTCCCGTGGCCCTAATTAGTCCCCAGTGATGAAAGGTTGGCGAAAATCATTACCATTAGTCCTCATGGACACTGGACGTTTTTACAGCTGCTGTTCTTGGCTTTTGACATTTTTTCCTACAGCTAGTAAACCCCCCAGCATGTTATCCTATGTGTCCATGCACAGATAGACTGTAATCAACGTTTTTTGGCTGGAAAAAAACCCAGGACTAGTGGGTTTCTTGAGCCGTTTTTTTTTATAGCTGTAAAAACGCTCTAATGCTGAAAAATGCATCAAAACGCGGTAAATCACAGTAAAATGCCACACACAGGCATTTTTAGATGTTTTTTTTGACCTCCCCAAATTTTTTTCTTGGTAAAAAAAAATCTGCTAACAAACGCAAACACGGCAAAACGCCGCTAAACGCTAATGCAAAAACGCTAAATAAAAAGCTGAAAACTCACGTTTTTAACGTGACTTTACACAGCTGACATTACCAGCATTATCAAAACACCCAGTGTGCATGGAGCCTTATTCTGCTTGTAGTGACATGCAACATTTTGCAGTGTTTGTTTTTTTTTCTTTTCATAATAAAGAGGTTAGTTTTTTCAGTTGACCTCCAGGCAAATACATATATGTGAAGGCTTTGTGATACAAACACTTCTTTTGGACAACCAAGCAGATCCTTGAGCTATATACACATCGCAATACAGCCTGTTACAGAACCCTGCCCCAGCCTGTGATTGGACAAGGAAGTAAAGGTACATTGGTGAGGTTATCCCTGTGTTCTCCTTTTCCTGCATAGGGTTAGTTTGATGGCAGAAATGTCACTAAACAATCCCTGTGAAACAGACATCCAAGTCCCAGCATCATTTTCCTAACCACTACCTTAGTTTTAGAATTGACGATTAATATAAAATACAATTTTTTTCTTGCATCTGTATTCCTCCGCTTGCTGCCTATTGCGCCTGTGTTATATCCATTTCTGGCAAAGGAGAATGAGAATTGCTGTGCTCAAACTACAATCCCAATTACACATT